AAATACTGGAATAAAAATACTGTACTGTACTAAACCTGCCCGTGAAAAGCTTGTCGAGGAGCGAGGGGAAGAAGGAAATTAATCGACTTCGTAAGTCGCGAGGGAAGGGATCGCTGTTCCCTTCTCGCAATAAAAATACCTCAGGCAGGAACCGCAGGAGGGGGTCCAGCCCCCCCCTCCTATCTATGTGACCCCGGTTGGGTCGTCTAGCAAGTAGAAGTAAGTGGAGGATAGGGGCCAGAGGGGCAGACGACCGAATCCGATGATGGGAGAAAAAAAAAAAAACTGATGGTTGGTGATCTGCTCAACAACGTACCGCGGTATTCGAGTACTTCCCAACACGACCTTATATTAGATTTCCGATATTTCCAAATAGGCATAAAGTTCCGAACAGAGGAAGTATTTATTATGGCGACAGTCCCCCATTTTTCGTGGTACGACGTTCACTACACTTTTCAGTGTATTTTTTCGTACAAGTACAACCGTCCAGGGTCACACAGGAGGAGGAGGTATAAACACCAGCGCTTTTTTCTTCTTTTTATTTCTTTTCATGCCCCATCTTGCTCCTGCGGTGCGTGCTGAATATTTTTTTTGATTTAATAGCACGAAGGGTCCAGCCGTCCCTGTCCCTCCTCAACGAACGGTGCTCTCCTCAACGAACGGTGCTAACGTCGAAGTTTGGTACTCACGAGAGCTTGTCAGCCGTATCTCGCTTTCACCCGCACATTTCGTCAATTTTTCACCCCATCCATGGGGATCCGAACTCACAACCTCTCTCTGCGACTAGCGGATTACGAGGATACCACTATCATTATCATCGCGAGTACCAAACGTGGACGTTAGCACCGTTGACGAGGGAAAGGGACGGCTGGACCCTCGCGATTAAAATACATTTCAGCACGCTCAGCAGGAGGAGGAAAAAGGTGGGGCATGAAAAGAAATAAATGAAGAAAAAAGACCTGGTGTTTACCCCCTCCTGTGTGACCTTGGATGGTTGTAGTTGTACGAAAAATACACTCAAAAGTGTAGTACTCTACATGTATATGCTGAAAAAAGTGCAGTACACGTCTCACCACGAAAAATTGGGGATGGGACTGCTGTCGCCATAATAATAAATAGGACGAAAACACACACAGCACACAGTACTACTAAACGAACTCGAGTAATAGGTAATAGCCTTGATAGACTGGTGCAGTTTTCTTCTGTTGCTGCTGTTTCTGTTTTTGATCCGAAGGATAGTTTAGCCTCCCCCATGCTGCCCCCTCACGGGATCCCAGTTCATGGTAGATAGAAGTGTTTTTTGTGTGTTTCCAACCGCAGTAAGACTGACGTCTTTTCATTGGTCAGCCGGTTGGCGCGGTCGATGCTAATAATAAAAACACACACTAAAAAACCACGGGACGACGGGTGGATATTTATGGTTGGTACCGAGAGTCAAGAAGGGTCTCGGCCAACGCCCACTCGCAACCTTACCCTGGCCTTGACCGAGCACGCTCGGTCACCGCTTGACATACCTCGTTACATCTCAACAGAGAAAACTGGCCTGCCTCCCGGTGGTAGACATCTACCACCTCGCCAAATTGGGACCTCAGCTCACGCGAAGTTGAGGGTATTCGCAGTTGTCGTCTTCGGCGAGTCAGTCACATGAGGGCCGGCAGCAAGGCGCTCGGCCTTGTTGCTGCTGGTTGCGTCCTGGGAAGTGCGCTGGGCCAGGGAAGCGAGTGCACTGCCTCAACGGATGCAAGCTTCGACTACCAGGTATGCCTGTCCATGCGTCAGGGAGTCTTCTTGTTTGTGTTGTGTGTTGACATCGATTCCCCGGGCGCCAGGGGGAGCCGGTTGTATCGAGTTTGCCTATCGCTCTCTCTCTCTCTTTCTCGCTCTGTTGTTTCACCGATGTATCGTCCGCAGAAACTAAGGTTTGTCTGGCGGCCTTCGCGCCTTTGAGCGGTGTACTGCGTGCGGTTTTGGAGGTGTGTGCCCCTTGAAGCTTTGTTGCGGTGTGTACGGTGGCGGAAGTCCACCCTTTCGTGCTCCCGAGGTGTGATGGCTGCTGTACAACATTCGTTCGCGCGTTGACCCGTATTGATGACTTGATTCCACCGGCTCTCGACATCCCGTGCAGAACTTGTAGGTACGAAGCTTGTGTTACCGTGCCGGGTGTATCCAGGCGATGCAGAGGGACGTACACAAAAGTCCAGCCGTCTACTTCCCAGCGAAAATACGTATCTTAGCCGCTCGCCTCGATTTGGAGCGGCAAGGTCGCACTCGAAGAAATGGTCATTTAGTGGTCAACAACCGCCCTTTTTTAGTTTTTGCACTCACCTGGGGGGGGCGGCTCCAGCGAGCAATCAACAATCAATATCAACCCGGGTGATTTGATGAAGACATATATTCCGATGGTGCCGCTGGGTTCAACAACTTGAAGTACTACAAACGAACGAGCGTGAAAGCGCCGCCCCCGCCGCTGTGGTCGTATTGCAACTCCTTGTCGGAGGCATGCGTATGCATCTCTCGTTGATTTTTCTTGCTGCACTCTTCGTGGGACCCCCGGACGTTCGTTTGAAACGAGCAAGGTACACGAGAGCGAGGCTACATCTAGTAAGTAGGTGTTTGAGGGTGCTGCGCTCTTTTCCCGTCAACGATCGAAGGAAAGCACAGCAGGAGGGGGGCTCAGGCCAGCGGGGGGAAAGCATTATGTGCGACCACGGATTGGCGCTCCTGCCTCTCACCCGGCAGAAATGCTGTAAATGCTATGTGTGAGCGCCGAAGAACAATAGATACAAATCAATTCTTCTAGTAGAATATTATGTACCGGTTTCGGAAGTATTTTTTGGCAAAAAGTTCACTTTCACTTTTAGCAGCACCGTTCCTGGGACCAGTCCCGTTTTTCCGAAGGAACCAAGGAACCAAGGTAAACGGGCAGGTTTAGTACAGTACAATACTGCCAGTATTTTCAGTATTGCAGTACCTTTGGCCATAATATACTGTACTGCACGCTTTAGTACAGCTTTCGATACTGGAATAAAAATACTGCACGCTTTAGTACAGCTTTCGATACTGGAATAAAAATACTGCACTCTCCAGTACAGCTCTCGATACTGGAATATACTGTACTGGCAGCACGGCTCTCGGTACTGTACTGTACTGGACGTTTTAGTACGCAGTTAAATACTGGAATAAAAATACTGTACTGTACTAAACCTGCCCGTGGAAGGTTTTAGCGATGTGATGTCACGATGTCACCATGAGGAAATCTGATCAGCACGGCCGGCGAACAAGTCACCACATCTCCCAAACGGATGCTTGTTGTTGTTGTTGTTGTCTTCACATTAAAAACCGTTCCGATTTCTCTCTACCCAGTACCTTCGTATGTCCGTACTGATCCAACACTCGACGCGGTCGATTCCCGTGGTCGCAGGCTAACTTACCCCAACAAGGTACACTCAAATAAACTGGCCCCGAGGGGTCCGCAAGTCAATAGAAATCAACGACAGATAATCTGGAGTCCTCCACTCCCTCTGCGCGCTATACGAGGTATAACAACGGAGACTAGGAGTCACCATCACGGGCCGGAGAGAAAGACAGAAGTAGAGAAGGAGAAAAAAAACAGAGAAAAAGAGCAGAAAATAAAAGGAAACAGTAAGGCAAGAGATAAGAAGTTGACCCTGCTGTCTCTTTCGCGCGGCGCGCGCTGCTCTCTTATTTGCTAGCCTACGCGCCGCCCGACCCCTCCTTTTCCTCCATCTTCCCCTCTTTTTTTGTTTTTTGCTATTTTCTTGCGAACACTCGGGCTAACGTGATAGTTACCCCGGTTCTTGCCTTGTTTCCCGTAGAGTTGTCGTCTTGTGCCGGAGCGGTGTGGCCCTCCATCTCTGGACTCTCTCCTTTCCTCTCTCTGGGGCATACCCCACGGCGTGCGGTCAGTCCGCCACCCTCACCGTGCTCTCTGCTGCTGCATAGCCCCGGTGTCCAAGCCGGGGCGTCAGGATCCAGTCTCATTTTGCAGCTACCAAAGCTAGCGGCTCAAGGGCTACCCCGATCTCACGACAGCAGTAGTAACTCCCAACCGCCAAACTCAGGATCCCCCTCTCAACAGTGCTAGGGACCGTATATCGGTCGTTGCTGGGTGGTCTTTCGAGGTCTAGATCCACTTGCGGAACCTCGGCCTACCCCAGGCACGGGGGGGGCAGGCCGGGGAGAGATGCTTGCATTCGGGTGAAAACTTCGACGCTGTGTCCTCCACAGCTCTGAGGTACCTTGCCACCAACCGAGATGGGTCTGAGTGGAGCGTTGTGAGCGTCTTGTGAGAGAGGACGCAACGTTTTTGAGCTGGAATGCATACATTAATGCACGCAACCAGACAGGGTGTGTGCGCACGCAGCAACAAGCGCACGCAGCACGCCCAAACGCTCGTCGCTCTCTCGCAACGCATCCCTCCAATCTTCAAGCCAGAGCCGACAACGCACAAGGCAGCAATATGCCCTAGCATTAGTTGTGGATCATGCGGCAGGCACTACATCGTGTTGGGCGATCGATGCGAGTGTAGTAGGTGTCCAGCCGCTGGTGCTGTGGGCAGGTGTGTGTGTGGCAGAAAAAAATATGAGCGAGCTGTGGGCCGGCATTTGACAAGTCTAAACCTTCGTCAGGGCCGAAGCAGGAGTCCTCCCACTGCTGGCAGTAAGCTGTACGACCGACCGCGGTCATGCGTTGGTGGGGGGAGGTGTCCAATAACACCCATCCTGGCGTGGTGTTGACGAAAGCAGCTAAAAGCTAAAAGATGAAAAAACTTGAAACAGACGCCAGCTGCCCTTGGTGCTAAAAAAGTCTTCCTAGGGTCGAAAGTTCGCGGCCATAAACTAGCTCTTTTCCCTAAAAAGTGAAAGTGAATTTTTCAAAACGTACATCCGAAACTCCCCAATTTTTTTTTTGAGCGGGCACACGCCAACATGCACTACAGCATTATGGTATTTTACCATGTACAATTGTATGCATGGCTCCTGTGACCTCTTCTTCCTGTGACCTTGTTCTTGGTTGGGTGACCCCGGCTGATACTCCAGTTATACACGCCGAAAGGCCTGTGAACCGGCGCCAGATTAGATGAGACGAACACGCACATAACGACACACACACGGCTCCACCTGCAGCATATATTATGCATATCTGCCCCCGCTGTTATTACGGTGTATTTTTTTTCGATTTTTCACAATCGAACCATCGAACCTCTCGGTTCTCTTCCTGCTGTGTGAAGACATTGTGACATTGTGAGTATAGGCGTGTTGTTTGATGTACACGCGTCCAACAAACCAGTATCATCTGTTTGCTGCTTCCGTGCCCTACGGAGGCCACCGCGCCCTCCGACGGCAGTATGAGTTGTGTCTGGGGGCAATCTTAACAACCCAGGACCGATTCGGGTGAAATAAATCCTTGATTGGTACACCCGGTGCTCCTTTCAGCACACAGAAAATATCATAAGGGCGGTCGGCCTTTTGTTCTTGAGACGAGAGTCAAGTTGCTGTTGGCTCCTTTTCCTTGCAGATGGTTTTTTGAGAAGATGACTGCGCGTTCATATCAAAATGATATTGGGGGGGGGCGNTTATGTTTTGCATGTCTTAGCGGTTAGACCATTGACCACGCGTCCTCGAGAGGACGGAGCATTGTTCCCACAGGACCGATCACCGATGGCCAATCGTTCCTTCCTACTTTGCCAAAGGTGGCTCAAAAATGTCTTCCCTAGTCTGTCTATCCTAACTATATCCCTTCCCGCCTTTTCAACCCACCTCCTATGCCCCAGTACAGCTACCGTCCTTTCCTCTCTATTCCATGCCTCAAACATCTCCCTGTACGTTCCATCGGGGGGGGCGGGGGCATACCAAATCACAGCGTTATCGAACGCGATCCCACGAATTCCGGAGAGGAGGATTGGCTGAAAACACGCTCAGGAATGCATTTACCATTTACCTGCACAGGTGCACGAAATATGAGACTTTTGTTCTCCAGTTTGTGCGCTACTGGCTCATGTGTGTATGTGTGGTGTGTGGGGTACACACCAGACTTAAACCTCTGATGGTCGAGAACCGAGATTTTTGGAGGGACGGTATGGGAAGGGACGAACGCTACAGTAGCACCAGTGAAGGTAGAGGCAGAGGTAGAGGTAGAGAAGGTTGAGGGTGTTAGAGTGGGAGCGAGCGACTGCTGGCCCGCTGTGTCTGCAAAAGCGGGCTCAGCATGTCCACTAGCTCCTTTCTGTGGCACTACCCCGAAGGTGCTGTTAGAGATCTCCGACACAGGTCATCTGACACATCATAGCAATCTACGGAGATCTGCGAGACAGCAGTCTGAGGTGACATTCACATAGATGAAGCAGTGAAAGACATGTATCCGCTTGCAACGTATCTACAGCAAAACGCGTTGTAAATCCGCTTTCCGTTGAGCGGAATTACTCTCTCGGGCTCCCACGGCGCTTCATTTTTCAGGAACCCTCTGGAGGTCTTACAGAGCACTTGTTGTTCGCTACTCAGCTGTGTGCGACAGCAGTCGTGACACGGCGAGCGTACGCAGGGCGAAAGTGTGGCGGTGAGCCCTGTTCCTCTCCCTTTTCAACCCTCTCAATCGCGTTGAGTGGTGGGTTCGAGGAGTCTGCGTTGAGCCGAGAAACACTCAGCTTTCTCGGAGGCCTATTGCGTGTCCGGGGTGTTGTCTAGGACACAACAAAGTTGTGAGTCTCATCTCCCCCCCCCCCCCCCCCCCCCCCCCCCCCCCCCCCCCCCCCCCCCC